AGATGACCACCACCTCCAGCTCTGCAGTCAGGGGACAGCATTCCTTGGAAAGGAATTCATTGATCAGTTGCAAAGGCCAGACTGGGCAAAGCCAGCTGCCAGGAAGCAAAAGACCCGTCAACTGGGAAAACTTCTCAGCTTTAAGAGAGGACGACGAACTGCTCTACTTTTGGCTTCAGCTAATCTCAAGGGAGACGCTTGGGGAGGGGACGGAAGGTGTGCTTCCTCTCCCCTGCTGGCTCTCCCAGCTTTCGGCCTTAGCAGAGGGACACCAAATGCTGCCTCGGGCAGAGTGGTCAGATACAGATTCTATTTCAACTGCACAAGGGTTCCCATACATCTTTAAGATTGCTAGGGTCCCTCTCCCTCCTCCCCCGACGAAATACTGCAGGCTAGAGACAAGAAGGGCCAGAAATGCAGATAGGAAGGCTGGGGGTGGGGGGGGAGGAAGGCAGAGGACCGAAGTAGGGGGTAGGGGGCAAGACGCAAAAAGGTGGCCATGGTTTCCAGCAACAGAAGGGGTAGTATGGGTTAAATTTCAATTCTGCCTCCTGGTGAAAAGAAGATTCCTGAACCTGTCCGCGTTTTTGTCCTCTGCCACCCAGGCAAATTTAGTCATACTTAGAAACTCTCCCGACAGCTTTGTACACGTTTGACTAGCTAGAAGAACAAATGCTCACGAAGATGAGTTGAAGGTTTGGCTCCAAACCTTTCCCAAAAACCTTATCAGTTTTGGAAGCAAGCAACATTTTTTTTTTTAAAAAGGCTGCCTTCACTGGCCTGAAAACGCTGAAGTCTGGTTAGCTCATCAATTGAGAATAAGGTTGCCACACTGCCCCCTCCCATCCCTATTACTATTATTGTTCTGTTCTGTTCCTCGGCTCTTGCTTTCTTAATGCTAGCAAAAAAAAAAAAAAGTCAGGACCCGACTCACTAAAAGCCTCCCCCCTGTTCGCTGTCTGTATAATCAGGACACTAATTAGACTCTCTCACTCCTCTCCCTGGTTGGCTAGAGAGTTACACAAGCACTTTTTTTCGCAGTGCAGGCATTTGTCACTGCCTTTGACTGCTGTGTATGCCGGAAACCTACCGCTGCTTGCAGTGAGCGGCAAATCACCCCACGCCCCCGAGGCTCAGGAGACTGCCACCCTCTCTTTAACAGCGCTAAAGTTTCCCCTATTGCTTCAGCAAGGCTCGGTACCCACGTATCTCTTCCCTCCCCTCTCCCTTCTCGAGGCTCATTTGTTTTCAGTGAAAACGCCATCAAGAGCTCAGCCCCCAAAGCACGTTCTCCTGCTCCTGCAAACCTCCTCCTCCTCCCAAATATCCGCATTGCTGTGACTGCGGCTGCTGTTGGGAAGAAAGCCGCGTGCGCGCCCAAGGCCACTTAGCTGCGGGCATTTCTCACCCCAGCGTCTTTGAGCTCTGGTTACTGCTGCTGCTTCTGCTCGTGGAAGGCAGCCTGTCTCTTTCCTGCCCTGCTGCAGGGGCTTTGAGGTCGCCTCCTCTGGAAGTCCGTCCCGCAGGTCTCTCCTCCTTACCCCACCAGCAACAGCAGCAGCTCTGACTCCAGCAGGCTCAGAACCTCTCTTCATACTTCTCTGGGCGCTGCACTTGGTGATGTTTGGGAAAACGATTTCCACCCCCCTTACCCCCTTGCCAGAAACAGATTTCCTACATTTCATCAGTCCACATAGACTGAACGGAAGTAAAATGCTTACTTTTTCTGCTGGACGGCAAACGCAATTGACACTGATTTACCCTTGAAACGCTGAGATATTATATTACAAGCCTTTGGCAGCAACTCCGAAGTCAGGTCCAACCTCCCCGCACCCCCTCCCCCCCCACCAGTCCCCCAAACACTGACCTAAGGAAGACCAAAAGAAAAAATCGTATTTAACTTCAATGTTTTCACAAAGTAAATGGCTTTAGCATAATATTAAACTGGATGCTGAAAGAGTTTTGGCTTTTTTAGCCAGCGGTTTTACAATTCCAGGGTCATATGTGTCTCATTATGTTCTCTGGTAACTTTTTTTTTAAGACCCTCTTCGTTCTAAAGTGAACAATACACTTCCTTAAAATGTGATTCTTTTAATTGAAAATGCCAGATTTTAGACGGGGCTTCAAGCTCACCGCTGTTTTCACTTTGAGAAAAGAAATATTATCCCACCTTGCCTTCACTCAGCAAACCTGCTTTATGCTGAACGGCGCAGACAATTTTCCCCAACTGTTGTTTATTAGGAGGGTATATTCTGAGAGGAGAAGTGTCCTATTCTGAATTGCAAGGGCTTGCAGAGGTAGAAGAACAGATGTTCCTTTTCCCACTTCACCTCATGTGTATAACAACCCTTCACATGTTGAGTTTACTTACATATCACATTATCACTTTTCATTTGGTATATTTCAAAAGAAGTACACTTTGGAGGGAAAGGGGTTTTTTTCCCCTCTCTTTTAACTTCATCATTTCCTCTTACGTATTTAATTCATGCAGGTCAAATAGGTGGCACAGCTATGGTCATTGAATATGACTCCCTTGAAAATTAAAGTAACTACAAATTTTAGGACTACACTAAGTGGGAAGTGGAGAATTAAGATAGACGTTTTGAAAGAGAAAAGAAGAAATTATTTTTATTAAATTATATCTTTCAATTGCAAGTAGTTATTTTGTCCTAAATCACCCAGAACTTTATGATAAGTTCATACCAAAGTAAGAATCAAGACAGCAATGGGAGGGAGCATTCGGACACTATGATTAGTGATTTTTCATACTTTCAAAATCTGAGTTCCATTTAATTTTTTTAAAAATACTGATACATTTTGTTTTGACACAATCATTCTCAAAACTTAGTTCCACCCCATCCCCCCCCACCCCCCAAGGGGAAAAAAGGTACCTATGACTTCCAGGGTTTTAAGCAGAGTGTCCTTATAAAAAGGCCTATGAGTTTTTCAAACATCAGAAAACTCTTACAAAACAGTATTCTGATGAGGTGGTGTAAATGAATCTGAAACACACAGCTTAAATTTTCCACAAAAGTCATAGAGATTTAACTACTACAGGGAAAGGACCCTAGCAAAGGAATTTAAATTTTCCATTGTATTTAAAGGAAAAGTTACACAGATCACAAAAAGTGTGAAAGAAATTTTTCTAACCACACACAATGGAAAAAGACAATTACTAGGTTAGCTGGACAGGTACTCTGTTGTGTGAGTATATAGATTAAATCATCACATGATGTCCCATAGGCTTCTCAAATTCAATATATCCAAAACTGAATTCTCACAAAACCCACCTTTCCTCGTAAATTCTCTATTTGAGTCAAGGACACAACCAGTCCTCCAATCACTCAAGTTTATAAGTTAGAAGTCATCCTTAACGCTTCACTTTTCCTTCCCATGTCCAATGAATTGTGAGTTCTAGCTCCTCAACATTTCACATCTGTCCCCAACTCTCTACTCACAAAGGAACCAACCTGCATGCCCTCTGATTTGGACTATTATAATATCTTCCTGGTTGTTCTCCCTGCCTCAAATCTCTCCCCTCTTCCATCCATCTTCCACATAGCTGCCAAATTGATATCTCAATAGTATAGGTTGGATCATGTCACTCACCTGCTCAAATTGCTCCATCGCCTGCATATTACCTCTAAGATCAAAGACAAACTCTTCTTTTTGGCATTCAAAGCCCTTTAAAAGATAGTTCCAGCCTATTTTCCAGGTTGATTGCACATTTTTCCCCTCGCCCACTCTATGCTGCAGCCTGACTGGCAAACTACATCACTGGAAGGAAGGAGCACCAACAATTAAATCATCCATCCATCTATCTATCTATCTATCTATCTATCTAATCTATCTATCTATCTATCTTTTAAAGGAGGAGGATGGAATGGAAAAGAAGTCAGTCATTATCTAAGGCCCAAACACTTTGTTTCCATCATCTTAATCTTTATCACGCTCATGAACAAATGAGTGTTGTGAACAAGTGAGTTATGAACAAGAGTGTTCATAAGGATATACAGTGAGATATCCTGATGTCCTTAAGGTTGTTAGAAATGTTCTTTACACTTAAAGATCTTATAATTGGACCAAAACTCAATACACACACACACACACACACACATATATACACGCACATATATATATATATGCATATATAATTGTTATATTATTCAATTATATCGTGAAAATAAAGTGGTGGAAGCTACCATATTTGTCTAAGTCACCCCTAAACTCTGTTACTAGAAAAAAAGAGGCAGGTGTAGAATACTGAAAGATAGTGATTAAGAATTATTCTCTTTTTTTTTTCCAGTGGGATTGTTAGCTCTGTTTAGTGGACCTTGGAATTATATTATGAGGAACATAGGATTCCAATATGATTTGTAACCTGTGCTCATTTCATGCCCTCTTATGTTGCATTTGTTATTTACCTTTGGTCCTAAAGGTAGTGATGATGATGATGATGATGATGATGATGATGATGATGATGTAAAGAGAAAGAGAATAGTAAATTTTAATAGACCCCTTTGCTGAGAGTCTCAGGGAATTCACTCTTATAATTAATGGGTAGACAGCTACACAACAAATAGAAGGAGCACGATATCTGTAAAGTGACTAACAGGCCAGGGCAGCTACTTCCTCCCATTATCCTCACTATTAATACTTTCTATTCATCATATGAGGAGTTGAGGGTAATTGGCAGCTGCCTTTGAAGACGGACTTGCTGACCACCATTCAGGGTAGTATGGGTAAATGGTTACTGATATTGGAATAAGCCAGGCTTCCATAAAATAGATCAGAGCAGCCAGGATTGTGGCCTCTAGGCCAAGAAGCTATCAAATAGTGACTATGGCTGCTGGAGATAAGCATCCCAGAGTGATCCAAATTCCGGAAGAGAAACATAAGATACAAGAAGAAACCCTTAAGTATCCCCAGAATGCCAGCTATTAAAAATCCCAGTGGCTAGTTAGCAAACAGGAAAGGATGCTTTCTCTTAGTGTACTTACCCTACTTTTTCATGGTATATTCCAAAACTTTGAGATGGAGTCTTGAGCAATGTTCCTGGTCCCTTAATCCTTTCTCTAACCTTCAGATATATGTAGTTCAGGAATTTCTTGCGCCATACTCAAAAAACTGGGAAGGCAACAAGGAGAAAGAATTCAAAGATGGCTGGAGGTGGACAGTTCCACATAGATGTGCTTAATTATTGTCTTTCCATTTTTGCTATATTCAACAAACCATATGAGCCTAGCATGTTGAATATCTGAATCTTCTTCACATAGAGGCAATGACTAGAGAGATAGGCAAGACAAAACATGAGACAGGGTTATAGAGCTAGAAAGTTCATATTTTAACTATTTTGAGTAATATTCCTGGCTAACTTTTGAACCTCACAGGTGTGGATATAAACTACTTAGCTCTGCCTTAACATACTATGCTGCAGATTTGAGGAGCAACCTCAGAGTAAGGAGACCCAAACTCCTCTGGTGGCTAGAGAAGCTACTGCATCATTGGGGTGAGGGGAGCAGATATCCCATACATGAGCCAGAGAGGAACTGAGATGTTGAGTGGGCTGGTGGTTTAAGAAAAGCCTCACTTGATAGACACCTCAGATATTATTCTCTCATTGGATAAATGATAAAATAATGTACTGCCTTTCTGTAGGTTTAAGAGAATCAGCACCCAAACCAATTTATACAGTTTGTTCCCCAAAAACCATCACTACAATGACCTAAGCAATATATCCAAGACATACAGATGTCATTGATATGCTTCTGGACAAGGCACATATCCTTGCTAGGTTTCATTTCTAAAATAAGAAACTAGATGGCCTCTAAATTCCTTTTCAGTTCAAAATCTTTGATTTTATGATTATCACACACTAAATAAAAAATCAGTCATTTTTTATAGTCACATATAGTGTTATTAAATTAAAAGATAATTCAAAAGGAAACCTCTTTGAAAGATAAAAAAGTTTTATTAGTTCAATAATGTGTCTTTAAGTCATTTATCAATTTCTTTATTATCAGTCATTTAATCAACACCTCATATTTCACATTATAGATCACACAGCCAGGATCACCAAAAGTCTCAGCAAAATGAAATGCTTGGCTGAATCTAATTAGGTAAATTTTAATAAAGACAAATGTAAAAATCTTTTATGTACATTCCAAAAAATCACTTCACAAAGACAAGCCAGAAGGGGCAGGACTAGAAAGCATCTGATTTGAAAAAAGATCTGGGGATTTTATTGAACAGTGTGCTGTGCCTGAAGTGAAGAAGATCTGAGTTCAAATTCTACTTCAGACACTTACTAGCTATGTGACCTTGGGCAAATCACTTAACTGCCATCAGCTTCAGTTTCCTCATCTGTAAAATGGTGACAATAATAATAGCACCTACCTTCCAGAGTTGTTGGGGAGATTAAATGAGATATTTGTAAAGTACTCTGCAAATTTTCAAGCACTGTATAAATGCTTTCATATTAATTTTCATTAATTTGTCAATATTCATTATTCGTATGATAATATCTTCATATAATACTCATTCACTCACTAAAATTCCTATTAGTTTGAATTAATTTGAATCACCAAATGGCACAGCAGTAAAAAGAAAAAAAATTCAATTTTAGGCTACATGAAAAGAAGCATAGTGTCCAGGATAATAATGATCTTTGTCTTATCCGGTCAGATCACATCTGAAGTATTGTGTTCAGTCCTGCGTCACACTTTTTAGTAAGGACACTGGCAAACTAGAAAGCATGAAGAGGACAGCTATGATGGAGAGATTCCTGGAGACCAAGCCATATGAAGACAGACTGAAGGGACAAGGAGTATTCAGCCTAAAGAAGAAAATTCTTAGGGGAATTTAATAACTACCTTTAAGTATTGGAGGGACTGTCATGTGAAAAAGGGATGAGGTTTATTTTTGCTTGACAAGGAACAGTGAATGGAAGTTTCAGAGAGGAAGATGTAGGTTTACCCAAAGGCACACTGCCATTGGTAGGGGGATTGGGTGAAGAAGAGCTTTCCAACAATTCAAGGTACTCCAAAACCAAATGGGCTGCCTCAAGAGTTAGTGGGCATGTCTTCAAGTGAAGATCAGATGACCATTTGTCTGGAATTTTGCAAAAGGGAGTCCCAAGCAGGTATGGGTTGAACCAGGTCCCTTTCAGTTACAAATACTATAGGACAATGGGACAGATACTTTCCCCCCTACTGTGCAAATACCATATTTATGCAAAATTTCCCTAATATATGAGCATGTGTCTTCCATCTGTTCTGCAGAGACTAGATTAAAATCACTCTAAGAAACATGCTATCTGTCTGGCATACATTTAAATTCCTATGTGATATGTACTACTTTATGAGTTCTGTTATCTAAGCTGAATTTCATTCATTCTTTCTTCTCCATCATTAATCATTTCATTTCTTTCTAAATGCTCTTAAAAATACCACAAACTTCCTGATAGTGAGATGCTCAAACTGAATACTAATGTAGTGGATACTATGCTGGAAATCACTGACTAATCAACAGGTTGGGTTTTAATAGTTTGTTTTCCCCCTGGGTCTTGGCTGCTTTGGACCCAGAACATAGACACATGATTTTCAAGGACTGCTACATCCCCTGCCTGGACCATAAAAACCTATTTAACCTAAAACGATTCTGAAATATTGTAAATTTACAACAAAAATATCTTATGCATTTGTCAGCGTTTAATATAAATGCTGATTAGTTTGGGTTGAATTAGAACACTGAACTCTGGGGTTACCTGTAATTGAAAAAAAATGAAACAAAAATGAAAGAAGAAAAAAAAAAACCAGAAGGGGACCTCTCTACCAAGGAGATGCCAAGGAGTCTAGTCCAATCATAATGTGCAGAGGGTATAGAGTATCATAGATTTCCAGCTGGAAGGGACCATGGAGATCATCCAGTCAAAGATCCCTTATTTTACAGATAAGTAACTGTAGCAATTAAACGATCTTTCAGGGTTACACAAGCAGTAAATGGCAGAACTAGGTTCCAACCTCTGGTCCTCTAATCACAATTGCAGGTGCATCATGCCCATTTTAAGTCGAGGAAAGAGGATCAAGATGTCAAGTGATGCTTAGCCACACAGCTGGCATGTGTATGAGTCAGGACTAAATTGCAAAATCAATGATGTTTCACTATCTCCTCTGCAACAATTAAAGACTTTCTACAAATTCCAATATACAAAACTTGGCACATTTTACAAAAACCTTGTGAATATACTCGGTCACATTTAGGATAATGGTTCCAGACCTTATTGGACTGAAGTCAATCTAATGTCTTTTTCTGGTCCCCATTCTTACGTGATACAAATGGATAGCCTGCCAGACTAGAGATCAAAGAGATTCAGGTTAGGAAGAATCAGTGCCACCGAGGACACCCCAAAACACATGGAAGACTATAAAGCTAGCAGTCACTAAATACTCCCATGGAAAGCCCTCACTGAGCCAGGTTACACTCTCTTACCTATCCCCTATTCCATGTAATGTGCTATCAAAGTACAAAGTAATCTTTTCAATAGGAAGATAGAAAGTAATGATTCCATGTTGTTTTGTATACCAGAAAGCACCTGTATGTCCCTGTGACAAAATTAGTTTAAAACATTTAAGACTCAGAGTAACATGGTGGATAAAGAGCTGTCCTGAGATCCAAGAAGACTTGCATTCAAGTCCCATTATGGATACATCCAGACTTGTATCACTCCAGTAAGTCACATAAAGTCTACTCTAAGCACCTCTCCAAGATTATAAATTGCAGAAAAGGTGCTGAACTGCACTGGTAAATGGAGTTTTCTCATCTGAAAGTTCTTTATATCAATTTTTTACTTATTTTATTTTTAAAGAAATGTTCTGAGAAAATAAGGTATTATCCCACACGAAAATAGTTTCAGGAACAGTTTATGTTAGAAGTAGTTTCTAAAATGTAAGCAAACTGCTCTAGTTGGTAATGGGATCTGTGTTGATTTAAGCCAGATTTCTGATGAGAGTAGTCATGAATGCTCAGTCTTAAAATTAAATAAAGGAGGAAAGAGCCAACAATTTAAAAGCAAGCAGGTAAAAATAAAGCCATCTGATTTGAGGTAAAAGATTTATTAGAGTATTCACACTACAAGTAGGGATAATCTCTTTTTGTTTTTTCAACTTCATGGAGGGAGAGGGAATGAAAGCAAATCAGAGGAGTCATGGCACAAATCTTTTATGGAGCAGGAACATAGAAAGTTAAAACTAATACTGTTGCCTTATATTACCTCTACTACTTTAAGCAGAGTGAACAGATTGCCTGTGGATATGAAGCAGAGAAGCCACTGGCAGTTGAGGAAAGTCATATTGAGGATCTCTAGATTCCAAACTGACCTAGAGTCCAAAATCCATTAGCTAGTCTCTGGGAGGACTTGACTACAGGACAGAATTAAATGTGAGTTAGGATGTAGAATTTTAATCAAAATTTGAGGATAAGACCAGAGTTAAATTAAGGATTGATTGAAACAATTAAGGGGTATTAAATAAGTTAACAAAGTAAGCATTTATTTCATTTAAAATGTTGCTTTGGAAAACAGGTTTTAACCAGCCAAAGAGATAAGATTTGGGGCACTGCCCCTGGGATTGAACTTGGTCTATGGAAGCCCAGAGGTAGAGGAACTAGGATAGAGGTTATAGTTGCCATGAACAAGAGTCCCAGAATCTCTGTTCTAGAGCTGTATGAGACCATACTATATTTTTAAATCCCATTTTGGAAGGTATCACATTTATTCAGGTTTTTTTCCTCTGAAATACCCATTTGGACCTGTAAGCTTAGCTCATCAATTCAGGAGTTTCTGCTGATGATGCAGATCACAACCCATCCATACCTTCTCATTCTGTGCAACACTAGTCCATGTTTTCCCAAAAGTTCAACACAAAGGATCCACCCAGTGTTTTAGAGGTCTTCCTTCTCATGTTGTCCTGATATTTTGAGAGTGCCAGTATAGCATTATAATCCTTCATTCTCGTCATGAAATCAGGTCATTCCTCTTCTCTTCTTATCAAAGACATGACAATATCTTTTACTCTTTTTCTCCTCTAGAGTTCCTCACTGGTGATATATTTCATTCATATTACCCCCTCTTTCTCTTCCTCCTCCATTCTGCTCTGGATAATACTCATTCTTAATTTTATGGAAGCAGTTGTAATCCACATCTCATTGATTTACAGCAATACTTGGAGAATGTTAATATTGGAAACATTGCTCTTTGATTTCATAGGAAGCCTATAGTATCTAAAGGAGACTTGCAATTTTCTGAAGGCAAGCTAGTCTTCTGTCCTTCTCCTCCTTAATCCTGAGCACAATTTGTTGTCCATCTATAGTATTTGTCCCAGATATACATATGGCTTGTCAAGCTTTACAGAGCATCCACCAAGTGCACATTAAAATCTAGGCGACAGACATTCTTCTTCAACTTGGTATTTCCTTTGTTTTTCTGGGTTTACTGTTTACCATTATTACCAGGTATGCTGTCATGCCTATAAATGGTGATTAACTTCAATGAAGCTAGTAACTAAAATGAAATAAATGCAAATCTGCAATTTTTATTTTTTAAGTTGTACTGGTTTTTCTTTGTTTGTTTTTTACATCACCTGAGATTGAGCTTGGTCTGTGGAAGTCCAGATTATAGATACCATGAACAAGGATGCCAAAATATCTATTCTAGAGCTATGAGGCTGCAATCTATTTTTAAGTATATTTTCCTCTTTCCTCACCTTTATAGAATCATCTCTTACTAAAAAATTAAAAGATGAACAAATTTTAACAAAACTTGCCAACGTATTACAACAAAAAAGTCTGACAGTGGCCCCACCATTGCAAAGAAGCATGGGAAGGCACCTTCTCCTATTTCTTCTTTGGACCAACCTTGATCATTATACTTTCACAGAATTAAGTTCTGATTGTTTTGTTGCTGGTGTTCTTTCCACTTACAATGCTGTAATGAATTGGAAGATTATTCCAAAATCCCTATTTCCTCACACATTTTTTTCCTTTGCATATTTCTTTCCACCTATGTATCAAGAGAATAATCAAGAAAAATGTTTCTTCCACCTCATTTCTCTCCCACTACTTTTTATTTCCTGCCAGTTGTGGACTCATTAAAGAGAATATACTTTGCCTTTCCCAGGATAGAGAAAACATTAAATTAAAGGCACATTCATTTTCTGGCCACATTCACAAGCTAGATTAAGCCAGAGCAGCTGCTTCTTACTTTTTTCCATGGACAAAGATGGCTAACTCCCTCAAAAGGTTGTGTCTAAATGGCACATTTTGGCATTCAAGCTTGCTTAAAGCAATATTGAAATGCAAAAGTTTGATCAGGGGAAATCTGGTAAGTTGATCGGGAGTTGGACCTTAGTGTGGGTTACTGTTTGTGTCTTCCTGCAGAGAATGTATACATGCCCATTGGGAACAGAAGAGGTCTCCTAGTTGTACGTATTTAATCAATTCACAGTTAATTGAAGCTGAATGATTAAGTCTGAGTGATTAGAAATTAATTGATTGGCTCTGGCTATTGTAAATCAAAGTCACCCCTTTGTTCTGGGTGTATGAAATGGAGTCGGTAAGGTTTGGTCTTACCTGAATCTTGGTTCTGATTTCTCCAGAAAAAAAGACTAATCTGAGAGTTTTGTCCTTTATATATAAGCACAGCCTCTCCCTTCCCCCCTCCCCCACCTACTGGGACTATCACAATCATCCAGAGATCACTGTCTTGGGGAAGCAATGACAGAGCCTCTCAGCCAATCAGAAGGCAACAACTGGAGGTAATGATAGAACATTAAGAGTCCCTGCATTCCAAGCTTCTGGTCCCAGTCATGGAGAGCATGGAGAGACACATTGAAGTTGTATATACTCTCAACTCCAAGGCCCCAGGAGAAGAAAATGACATAGGGAGTTGGTGGGAGTTACTGAACCTGAACTTTTTGGAGGTCTGTTAATATGTCCTGAACTCCCAGTCTTCTGGAGGAGGATCAAGATTTCTTGTTTGTGCAAAAATTTTTCAATTTAATGTAATCAAAATTATCCATTTTGCTTTTCATAATGTTCTCTATCTCCTGTTTGGTAATGAATTCTTCTGTTCTCCATAGATCTGATAGGTAAACTATTCCTTGTTCTCCCAGTTTACTTATGGTATCAGCCTTTATATCTAAGTCATGAACCCATTTTGACTTTATTTTGGTATATGGTGTGAGATGTGGGTCTGTGCCTAGTTTCTGCCATACTTTTTTCCAGTTTTCAGGATCAATATTTCTTGGGCCAAGGATCAAGCACATGGTCCTCCAGCTGGAGAAGTACCAAGGGATTGAACCATGATGCAACTGAGTAAAAATAAACAAGAAAGCAAACACAACTAGACTTTGTCCTCTGGTGCTACTAATAGAAAAGACGATTGTTGCTCTCTAACAATACCAATGCACTTCCTTTCTGAGAAAATTCCAAGTCCTTACAGTAATACTCTAACCATGGAGATGGATATAGGTGTCTAGGGAAAGGCTGGGATTCACCATAATTTACAAAAACCTGAAAACCTAAAATTCACTTCCTTTCTGAAGACAGTTCAAGCCTCAGAGTGGTTCTATGAATCTAGAATAGCATTCAGGTCCCTGGTGGGAAGATGAAATTTTCTAGAGTCAGAGGAAAATTTTCTTATAAATTTATAGGTTACTCTCAGTCCTTTATGTGTTTTCTTTTTTTCCCCCTGTTTGGGAAAAAAAAACAGCTACCCAATATACATTTTCACTTTTAGTGCTTGCACAGTATCTGAGTCCTTTTCCCAAAAAATTTTGAAAACCTAGAAACATGCTATATTTTGGATAGAAACAAAGTAAACTAAAGAGATATGGCTTTGGTGGCAACCTATTTCAATTATCACTAAGATAAAATCCAGTCTGTGTAAACCCAGAGCCTAGGGTAGTGGGCCACAGATTTCAGAGGAAGACTCCCCCACTCTACAGAAAAATTGGTTCCATATTGCAATTCATTTGCCACTATTGGCATTAGTCATTCTTCTTTGGTAAATGGAGATTAGACCCCCAAAGCATCATAAAAGTGGCTGAGGATGGTTGTAGATTATCAGATGACAAATTAATACAGTTATATCCATTTGAGAGGGAAAATATTAGGAAAGAAGGATAATATTTGTGTGAAGAAACATAGCAAGCAAAGATCAAGATAAGAAGGGTAAATACCAGCAAATGTCCAACCAAGTTTTCTCAATCTCTTCTGTTTTCCTCGCACTTTGTTCTTTTTTTTCCCTTGGCTACGTAATAATTCCGCCATTTATATAGAACTTTAAGATTTACAAAGAACTTTACAAATATTATCTTACTATGTCCTCACAATAACCCCAAGAAGTAGGCGCTGTCATTATCCTATTTTATCGATGAGGAAACTGAGGCAGACAGATTAATAACTTGCTTAGGCTCACATAGTGTCTAACGAAAGATTGGGATTCAATTCTTCCTAACTACAGGTCCAATGCTAATTTGGTTTCCTCCTTTTTCTTTCTTTTTTTTTCCCCCCTCTCTTCTCCTTATTTATCTTACATTTCTGGGACTCCATTCTTTTTTTTGTTTTTTGGCCTTTGCCAGATGTTCCCTATGTGTCTTTCTTCTTCAAGAGGGCCCTGCTATAATCCTGAACTTTCTTCCATTTTCTTCTCTAACTTCTAGGTCAGAATGTTAGAAAGCCTTTCTTCACTGTCATTACATGCTCTCTGTAGGAACAGAACAGTCAACCATGGTCTCTGATGCATGATTTCTCTTAGACAACTGAAAATATTGTATAAGTACTAAATCTCAAGAGAAGATCATAACAGGGAAAGTTATTTTTCTTAAGACTAGAAGAGTGTATAGACAGTTTTAAGACAGATTAAAGGTATAAAATGGAGAACTTTTCTCAGTGTTCTTCTGCAAATTATATCTATCAGTATTCATCATCAGATTTTTCACCATATTGTAGATCTTGTGGCTTTTGAATTCAAATCTGAAGCTGATTTGTTTTTGTTTACAGTGATACTTGGATGGGTTTTTGTCAGGTCTAAGAAGTTGTATCCACAAATTCCTTTTGGCATTTCTTTTAGTCCAGTAATTCCTTACATTCATCTGAATTGTGGATTGTTCTCCTTTTTTTGAGCATTGCTAGTGAATATTCTTTTTGCATTCATTGAGTTTCTCTCTCACAAAAATGAAAAAAAAATTCTCCTCCACCCACCATCTCTTTAGTTTGCCAAATCTTTTTTTTTTTTTAATTTCATGCCTTGTGCCTTAGGCACACTCTAATTGGTCCTGGCTGAGCCTTTGCTTCCTTGCTGGTATCTATGATGTGCTGAGTTATGAACAATAGTGAGTGAACTGTTGCCCAACTTTTTTCATTAATGACACATGTTTCTGGAGCACATAAAGAGACTGTGAAAAGATTCTAGCTTCAGAAAATATGCCCAAATTTGAGAGCAGGCACTCAAATTCAAAAATGAGGAGAGATGCCTATAAGTAGTAAGCTACAGATTTTAATCTTTGTAGAACTAGGATATGTTTGAAAGAAATAGGTGTAATTTGTTTTGAAATGTCCATTCTGCAATCCCCCACCATAGATATCAGTTTGGTTCAAGTATAGTTTTATTCAGCCTGTGTTATATCATTTACAAGGAAACTGTGTTTGTTTCTGGGTGGGTGAGTATTGATTTGTGGATGAAATAATTGAAAGAAGTGAGGAGACTAAAACGTACAGTCAAGACAAGAAATAATATGTATTAAATATATTTGGTTCACACATTTTCCTAAAGCTACTAAAAAAAGTACAATTTCTATGTTATTCCACGTTAAGGTACTGTAGCAAAGTGGATAAAGAGAAGGCAGGCCTTGAAGGCAGGAAGACTTGGGTCCCAGTCCTGTACCTGACCTGGGGAAATTCATAATCTCTTATACCTACAAGCCAGTCTTTGCAACTTCTAAGTTGCAGGAGTTTCTAATTTGCCTCAAGGGAAAGAGTTTCTACTTCAGGAGTTCCCTGCATGGAAGGAAGGAAGAAAGGAAGAAGAAGAAGAAGAAGAAGAAGAAGAAGAAGAAGAAGAAGAAGAAGAAGAAGAAGAAGAAGAAGAAGAAGAAGGAGAAGAAGAAGAAGAAGAAGAAGAAGAAGAAGGAGAAGAAGAAGAAGAAGAGAAGAAGAAAAAAAAGAAGAAAAAGAAAAAGAAGAAAAAGAAGGAGAAGAAGAAGAAAAAGAAGAAGACGGAGAAGAAGAAGAAGAAAAAGAAGAAGAAGAAGACGGAGAAGAAGAAGAAGAAGAAGAAACAGAAGAAAATAATTTTAAGTTCTGCTTTTAAATTCTGATGCCCATTATTGATCATTGAGCCCACTGAAACACAGGAAATCAAGATAGGCTCTGGGAAAGATAATTATAAATATGATTCTTAGCTGGATAGCTTGAGTTCATTTCTTTCCTGGGCTAGCAGCCTGAGATATGTATGAAGCCTGCCAGCTCTTCCATCATTTTTTTTTGGTGAGGCAATTGGGGTTAAGTGACTTGCCCAGGGTCACACAGCTAGTAAGTATCAAGTGTCCGAGACTGGGTTTGAACTCAAGTCCTACTGACTCCAGGGCTGGTGCTCTAGCCACTAAGCCACCTAGCTGCCCCACTTCCATCAATTTTAATTCAGACAGAGATTGGAATTGGGACCTATTGTGTTGTCTCTCTTATTAGAATGTGAGTTCCCTGAGAGAAGGGACTGTCTTCCTTTCTTGTATGTATCCCCAGCACTTAGCACAGTGGTTTGCACATGGTAAGCACTTAATAAATGTTTTATTCATCCATTCAACAAGTCAGACTTCTCATGGAAGAAAGAAGCACCAGCAATGGACCTAAAGAGGCCCCAGGCCTTCATACACAACTAGACTGCTTGCCCAGCAGAAAGCTAACCCAGGGGAAACTCCACAAGGACTCTATGAAGGAAGAAACTCTACACTCCACATTTCCTTACTCATTCATTATATCTTTCTCATCTCCATGAACTCTGCAATCCAGCCATATGATCTGTTTGCTGTCTTTTGCCCATAACAATTTCTCTACTATCTCTAGGCCTTTTCATTTGCTATCCCCCATGTCTGGGAGTTCCATAACTTAAATGTACTTCCTCCTCACCTCCACCTCTAGAATACTAAAAGAATTCCTTTGAAATTTACTTCAACTCCCTCCTACCAAATAAGACCTTTCCTCATGTCCCTCTTTACCTCTATGCTGCTAATTAAGCTTTTATTACCTCAAATTTCTTTGTATATATTTTGCATCTATTTATATGTATATGTATGCTTTCCCCCGATAGGATGCAAGCTCCTTTAGGAGTTCTTTCATTTTTGTCTTTGTATCTCAGCACTGAGCACAGTGCCTGGCAAATAGCGGCATTGATACTTTCTTATGTGAGCAGTTTGGTTACTGAAAGGCAGAACATAAAGTGCTCATTAAAAAAAAAAAAAGGATTCAATCAAATTTTGAGCTTATCTTCCCCCATGAAGTAGCTCCATTTCTTGACTCCTTTCCATGTTGTTAATATCCTTGTTCTTATAGTTTTTAAAAGATCAGCTGTCTCTAACTTATCCCTCCACCTTGATATGCCCACTCATATCTAGTTATTCACAAAGTTCTGTTAAATTATTTTCATAATATTTATTG